AGATGATCACACAGGTCTACCCTATTTATCCGAAGTCTCTGAAAGGGACGTAAAGTCCTACCGTTATACTAATGCTGTTCAATGGACGAGGACACCATCGCGGCGAAATTAGACTGGCGCGCGACTCGTGGCTGATGACCGAGTCGGTGAACTCATCCGAATCGCTTGAGTGCTAAAGGGTTCAAAATTCCCAGTTAGACTGCATTTGGTCGTGAGGGATAACAGTTAGCCTTTAAACATGCATTAGCCTTCCCAGATAGGGACTGGCTACTTCTACAGATGTGACATCTTGGATTATCGTGACTAAGCGTGGTATCCTATACTCGCTCTGAGGACTCCCTGATCGTCAGATAGGACGCCACCACGGTAGCTTAGGCCGAAATTATAATATACCATGCGGCTTTGTGTATTGCTGGCAACGCCCTAATCTTGGTTGTCAGCTGCAGAAGGCATTTTTCTCCCTTACTCTATATTGGCGGCTGTTCGTGGGGTAACGGCAAGCCGCAGAGGGCACTGGATTTCCCGGAACTGTCAGCATTGGAGTATTTATATGCGCATTTCAACTCTGCAATGGATGACAACCACAATTATCGCGTAAAAAATCACAGTTCTTGTGCTTAGGATGTGTCCTGCCCTGGTATGGCACTCCACTTGTGTACGGCTAGCTATGAGGAGTGGGTGAAACAGATGTATATTCGGGAGTAGTGAGCAGCAAATAGCGCAACAAATGATTGATCATTTCAGGAGGAGAGGATGCGATCACTGGAACAAGAGTTTTACTTTCCTGACGTTTCGGATTCCGTCGGGAATCCCTAATCATAGGTGATGGTAGCATGGTCATGCGCAGATAGGGTTGAAACATGCACAGGTTACACGGTATTGATAGTTCATAGTGGTCATCCGTGTGCGTGCGATCATTTGATCTTATTAACGGTATAGCAATATAAGCCTCTTGTCGAAGGCTCTGGCCGGAGATGACGATCATCAATACCCTGAAACACAACCCGATCGGTGTACGACCCCCCTATAATAAACCCAGACCTAGGTCGTGTCTCGAGGAACAAAGACTTGATAGGTTAACTATATAACTAATCATACACACTAAATAATAGGCGACACATTGTTGACCAGTTCTTACAACTGCAGGATTCTCGAAGGCATTGCCTATTACATTCATCATCATTGCTATCATCAAAAAAACAACAGCATTTGTCGTAGCTGACACAACCAGGATCCCCACGGTGTAGGTCCAACTAAAGGACAACGCCCAATCAGTCGCAATCGGCCCCCAGAGGGTCAAAATAGGTGGCCCGCCGTCTGTTTCAACCATGCAGTCTGTCATCGCAACTAAAATATAAGGATTGCATAACTGCGTACGTCTGCATTCGATTATACCGATGTGAAAGGCGCGAGTCTTCGTCTTCTGTGTCTGGATTTCCATTAGCAACCAACTTATAGTTTATTTATCAAAGTGCAGAATGATACCCGGGACTCCCCTAGGTACAGTCTTGCGATATTTTTACAGCATTGCGATATGTCGCCTCAACTAAATTTCGGAGAGGATTACTGGAGCCGAAGAGGCCCAGAAGAGACGAAATAACCCGATCGAGGAGGCAGCGTAAGCCGACAGATGTGAAAAACATATCGGAGAGTTGGCAACTCATCGGAGCGTAAAATCCAACCCCACCTCCACGCTGGTGCGCGCCGGAAACTTGCTTT